AAAAAAAAAGACGACTATCAATTAAACAAACACCAAACAAAAAAATTACCTAAACTAATAAAAGAAAATGAAGCAAATCCGAGCAACAAATTAAACTGAATATCACAGGAAAACAAAGATGATAATGATAACTATTTCAATAATAATAATAGTAATAGTAATAATAGTAATAATAATAATAAATAACAATAATAATAATAATAATAATAATAGAATAAAAATAAAAACAATAATAATAGCAACACATCAATAACAAAATAATAATAATAATAATAATAATAATAATAATAATAAGTATTAGTTATTGGTATTACTGTTATTATAATATCATTGATATAATAATAATAATAATAATAATAATAATAATAATAATGACAATGGTTACAATTATAATAATAATAATAAAACGGAAAGATGACTTGCAGTGATCATGATGCCAAGGTTCTTATCTAGGTAATTTAAAACACCATCAGTAGCTTCAGACTCCAATAGAAGACACTGCCCGGTGTATTTCACTTCTAACTACTGACCTCTCTGCCCGAAGGCTTCTCCACTTCCTCAATTTCACAGAACCAACAACATTTCTTCAAGACCCATTAACCCCGTCACCAAATCCAATAAATTTGATAATGAAGGTATAAGAGCAGTAGCAATGCAAATAATACAAGCTAAAAATTCTCTTGCTTCTCCTTCTTCCTCACCCACTTACTATAGATGCCTATATCACGAAAAACTTTGGCATACTGGAATGAAGTTTATGAAATGTAGTTTGAGCCTATATTGTGAGGAAAGTAAATTTAAACAGAACAAAAAAAAAGAAACAAATAACAAAAAAAAAGAGATGAAGGAAGGATCATACGTGAGCATAAACCAGAATGTGTAAAGAACCTTGTTTCAATAACATTCTGTTCGTCTACAAATCAATGACGACAAGAGAACATCGAGAACAATAAAAAACAGAAACAATACTGACATTATCTACAAGAAAACAGCATGTTATAGCACTTTGACAGAAAAACAGACTTCTCGACTGTTTTGACCCTTATAAAAAAAACTCAACTTCCATACAATTCATATATAATTTCTAGCTTCCAAAAATCAAACCAGAAAAATTCTCGTATGTAAAAAAAAAAAACAAAGACAAAAATTCCATTCATTTTCCTCCTCTAACCAGCTGTGTCAGTAGCAACACTCAAATTTCAAATTATTTTCTTCTTCCTTGATTCGTCTATAATGGTTGCTACTGATACTCCTAGCTCTTAATAAGTTCCAAATGAAACGAAATAAGATAAAAAAAGCAAAATACTAAAGGAACCTACAATCATCGGGTATAAATTTATTTACATGCTCAACTGGAACTGCAGAAATATGGCGTTACAGTGCAACCTTTATCAAACAGAAATGCTCTGCTATAGGGAATAAAGAAGAATTTGGAGCAAGATCAAGATTTACAATTCGAAGAAAGCCAAGTCAGGCCTTCATAAAGTCCGTCACCCGTTGTAGCGCAAGCTGGCTGTACATACCAATTACGATCTCGTATTCTCGTTAAACCTAATTTCTCTTGAATCTCGTGTGGTTTAATTGCTGAAAAAACTAACGATCACCATCTAAAGCCGAATGCACAGGAGAGTTAAGCAGAAATACCTTCGGATAAATCCTGTTTATTAGCAAACACTAAAATGATTGCGTCTTTCATTTCTCGATCATTTATGATTCTGTGCATCTCTTGCCGAGCTTCATCAATACGATCCCTATCTGCAGCATCGACAACAAAAATTAACGCCTGAGTTCCTGTATAGTAATGCCGCCACAGAGGTCGAATTTTATCCTGACCACCAACATCCTACAGAAAAACTGAATTTTCAAATGCACAAGAAGAAACCAACGAAAAACAGTAAAAAAACATATATAAAAAAGTTTAAAGTAAAGCATACCCAAACACTAAATTTAATGTTTTTATACGTCACCGTTTCGACATTGAAACCAACGGTCGGTATAGTAGTCACAGTCTGACCCAATTTCAATTTATACAATATTGCTAAAACGAGGAAAACATGATGTGACGCAAGATTAATACAGGATAACTCAAGCAAACAAAAAGCAGAAGCCACCTTGCATGTAAAATGCGAATTTTATTTCTAAACAAATGCGTAAAGATATATTCATAATTACTTCATAAACAGATCTTACTGAGGGAAAAAAAAGTGAGTTATAAAACTCGTAATGCTAAATTTCATCCTATCAACGTCTAACATTTAAAGATTAAACTGTGACAAATAGGTACTTTACTTTTATTCTACAGAAAAACATAAGTAAATAAACGAATAAACAAACAGATAAGTAAATAAATACAAGTAATAACAAAACTTAAAATAAAACAAAAAACTTCTTTCCAGTTCGTCACGTCATAGAAAACTAACGAGTCTGGCGGAAATATTAAAAGGAATTTTTAATAAACATTTAGAAACCACTTCACTTTGTAAAAGTACTTCCCACCATCACTAAAAAAAAAAGAAATCTTACTCGTTTTTCCAGCAGCATCGAGTCCTAGCATCAGTACCCGCATCTCACGTTTACCAAAAATTTTTGACAGAAGCTTCCCCATGTCCGCTTCGCCAAAAGTTGAGAAGCGCTAAGCGCCTTTCAGATCTACTCAGTGTATTGAGCTTTAGGGCTGATGCTGAAAACAAAATAAAAAATAGCGTCCTCTTCAGTACTTTAATACATCTCGTAAATTTCCGCGTTAACAATGCTAACAAAACGAAGTTGACGCACAATGCACAACTACACTTGCATATGAGATGATTAACTCCCAAAAATTAACCTTATCGAAAAGAAGTTTGGTAATTTTTTATGAAAAATGTATATGGCAGCGAAACGAGCTTTAATAGCTTATTTTTTCTTTTAATTGATCGTTATCCATCTATTAGTAATTAATGATAACAGGTGATAACTCTTAAAAGAAAAAAAAAAAACAAACGAGGAACAAATGAAAAACAACAGAAAATAAACAAACAAATGAGCAAAAAACTACAGAAAACCAACAGCTAAACTGAAATCAACACGCGGTAATAAAGCAATATATTCGTATCGATAATTGCCATCAAAAAACGAGAAAGCCTAAAGAAAAAAATTTTAAATAACTGAATGTTCAACCTAATTATTAAGGGCGCAAATTAGATCACCAGAGAACAACAGGAATTGTAAAAGCGAATGAAACAAAATTACGCATGCACTGTTTTGTGGTTGTTCTCAATGACAGGAAGTGAACATCATACTCAAGTGATTCATGCAATAAATTATGTTCCAAACAAATCAACGTTAGGCTTCCAATTTCTTTTCAACCAAATCACGGCAAAAAAAATAAATAAATAAATAAACAAATACGCAGATAAAATAAAAATAAAATAAAATAAAAACAGAAATAAAAATAAAATAAAAAAAGATAAAATAAAAAAACTGAGAAAAAAGCAGATACGCAGAGCACTCACAACCAAATCACCTCTTGGCACTTTCTTATTTTCAATCTTAACAATGAAAAACAGAAAAAAATTAGAAAAAAAACGAAACAAACGAAAAAGCAAAAACAAATCTAAACAATCAGTTCTATTTCTCCGCCGACGAAAAAAAAGTGAAAACTGCAAGAGAGAGTAAAAAAAAACAACTAATACAGTCAAACAACTAACATTACTGTACAACCCATTAGCATATGCCAAAAATGGTAAGAACGAGGCAAAAAATCAAAAAAAAAAAACGGGAAAAAACAGTGAAAAACGGAATTGAAAAAAAAAAACTAAAAAGGAAATAAAAGATTAGAGCTAACAAATGTTAAAGATGCTTCTTGTTCTTCTTTCATTCACTTGAAAAGCCTAAACGAAGTGCAAACTAAATTGAATAAAAAAACCAAAATTTCTATCTAGTTCATTATGTTTCTTTATAAAGTGGGCTACATCAAACCTTCAAACAAATATAAAGAAAAATACATAATTAGGACAATAAAAAAGTAGAGTTTCGGAGCGGTATCACGCCAGAGAAAATGAAAAAAGAAACTGCTAATAGGCCCAACAACAAATATTCTAGCCATGAATCATCTACGACTAAGATAAAAAAGAATACTTCAAAGTATAATCGTAGATTCATAATTAAAGCGACAAATATAACATGACTACTCAACTTACTACCGTATCAGTTCGTTACTTTTGTGAAATCCAGTCTCGATAAAGAAAAAAAAATAAGATGCATAAAAAACGAAGAACCTGTAAAGAGCTAATGAAAGCACAACAGTACACTGCTCAGTTAAT